CCTCCCTTCTCTAAAAATAAATAAATAAATAAATAAATAAATAAATAAATAAATAAAATCTTTTAAAAAATAAAGAAGAATATGCCTCTGGTGCCGTATTAGTTATCATTAACCAAAAAGTCAGCAATGGTTACCCTACTGTGGCATAATTGATAGGGGAACTTAAGAGTTAAATATTTTAGCTTCAGTCACTGTTGATAGGATTGATTAATGCAAGTAGAAAGCAGTTGTTCCAGGAAATGGAATGCAATGACTCCAGGAAGTCATCAAGCAATTCAACCTTTGTGCCCCAGGAGGTCTGCAAGCACTGAAGACTGTATCTAAGCCATTGTGTCCCAGGAAGGGACATCTGTGATGCAGATAAAGATTTTCTGATCAGTTGATAAAGAAATACTAGGAAAATCAAGACCTGACTGCAACTTTTATCCAATTAACCTTTTTCCAAACCCATTACCTACCCTTTTCTTCTTCTTATAAAAAGGTTAGCTTCAGGTGAGATGTTAAGGCAGTTTTTAGCGTACATAACCTGCTGTCTTTTCAGATTGCCAGATTATGAATAAAGGGCTCATAATGATTCAATCCTTGTCTCTAGTACTTGATTTTGGTAGTGACAGGCAGCATAAAGGCCAACTTTTCCGGTTTCATAATCTGGTTAATATTGAATATAGTGGAGGTGTTAGAAGAAGATGGCTGTTGAAAGGCCTACACGGGGCTTAAGAACCAAGGTCTGAGTATCACCGAAATGGAAAAACAATGGTCTGTGTTCTCTTGATAGGAAAAATAGAAAGATGTTTTTGCTAATAAATTTTCCTTTAAAGTTAAACTTCCTGTAAAATATAGTATTTAAAATTTCTTTCCAGAATCTGATACAAACCATGGGTTTCTTAGAAAAAGAAAAAATTTACATTATACAGGAGCATCCAGTTAGATCGAATTTAGATATAATAGTTTATCAGATTTCTTTAAACCCACTGATTGAAAGCATTAGATAACTTATTTCAAAGCTTCTATTTCATTCATTACTCAACTATATTCACTGAATGCCTACTACATTCTAAGTGTTATGGGAACTTAAGTTGGGAGGGTGCTCCTCCTTCAGATTCAGGGGAGCATTATGGTATATCACAATGCAGGAGTTTAACTTAAGAGCAGGTGATGAAAAAGTGAAGGCCAAACCCCTTAACTACTCAATTGAGAAGTCTGGCAATAAAGGAATGAAAGAAATAGGGAATTAGCCAGAGTTCTAGAAAGGCAAAGTAGAAGGGTAAGCTTTACCTCCAAAAGAGGGAATACTTTTTCAAAAGGAGAAGGAAAGATCAAACATATTACAGAAAAGGATGATACTTGTAGAAAGAGAAAATAACTAAGGAAAAGCAAGACAGAAGGCAATCAAAGGCCAAATTAACCTTACATTCAGATTCAATTAATCTTTTTTTCTTTTTAAATCCTCACCTAAGGATATGTTCAGAGAGGAAGGGAAGGGGTAGGAGGAGGAGGCGGGGGGGGGGGGGAGGTGGGGGGGAGGGGGGCGGGGGGGGAGAGAGAGACAGAGACAGAGACAGAGACAGAGAGGGAGACAGAGAGGGAGAGAGGGAGAGGACGCACCCTAATGGAGGTCAAACTCAAAACCTAGGTATGTGCCCTAATCAGAAATCAAACTCACAAACTTTTGGTCTACGAGATTATGTTCTAACCAACTGAGCCACCTGGCCAGGACTCAATTAATCTTTATTTAATACCTAATATATGCCAGGAAATGTACTAAGTAATTTCATACACATTACCTTGTTTAATCCTCCCAACAACCCTGCAAGATAAAATAAATATACTTCTGAAACAAGCAAAAAAGATAAGAAATAGAGAGACAAAAGGGGAGATAACGGAGGTCATACCAAATGACTGCAGTTGTTTCCATAATGAAAACAAGAAAGAAGGCAAGAAGGCTTGAGGACTTGAAGGAATATGTAAGAAAACTAACATCCACTGCCTAACATGTGCCAGGCACTGTTACATTCTCTATACACAAATTTTCATACAATTTTGTTTGGTAAGTATTATTCATTTAATTGAAGAACTTGAGATTGTAAGAATTTCCCAAAATCAAACTGCTGGTAAGTGGTAGAGTGGTGATTCAAACCCAGGTCTATGAGACTACAAATTCTATTTTTTTTTCACTATACTACACTGGTGCTTCAAAATCAGGAACATGCAAGGGAGGAAATCTGAGGAAAATAAACAAATCATGAAGCAGCAAGGGTCCAGTTAAAATAAGTATAAATTTGGAATAGGAAATGCCAATTCTGTGCCCTCTCATCCCTGGGTTCAACTACCAAGTAAAAAGTATTTACATGGGAAGATGCTAAAGTTGTAACAAATTAATATGTATTTCCAAAGACTAAAATTGGGCAGGAGAGTTTTGCCTCCCTTCAAATTATTACTATTGTTCTTTATTAATTAACTATCTACAAAATAGAAGTTCCTCGATAGTCTTACAGAACTTGCTACCTAACCGTTTGAAGCTACAGTGCAAGTATCTGTTTAAATTTCAAACACTAACCTGAGGAAGTGTTCTAATGCCAATTAAAATATCAGAAAACATCCACCCAAGAATAACTTAATCTTCTTTCATTTTGAAAACATTTTTGTGCTTGCTTCAGCAGCACATATACGCAACTATAACTGAAACTAACTTAAAAAATAAATCATTTATCAGGAATGTACAAAAGAAAAAGAAAAGAAAAAGAAAACATTTTATTTACAAGGAATACCAGTTAGGACTTAAGACTAACAGACATTGGCTTGTTGTCAAAAACCAGAATACAGACTCATTTATTTTGACCTTTTATGGTAGAGAAAACTGTAAAAGACTTTGAAATGAACCAAAAAGATCACTGGGCATCTTCAATGAAAAATTTGGCATTGTTTAATGTGCACCCTGTCTAGTTATCTGAATCTATGGGGTTTGCATCCTTTATGATCTTTGAGCTATTTTATATCTGTAAGTTGTAGATAGCTGACTGAGAGCAATGCAAAGGATTGTCTGTACACAAGCAAATAAATTCTGTCCAGTGAAGGGAGGAATGATTTCTCACATGTCAAATGGAAAAAGCCAGTTTTATGTCAATCTGTACATACATTTCAGCATTCTTGATCCCAAATATGCATGCTTTTTGAATTTTCCTTTGAACTACTTTTAATATCTAACTGGTTCTCTCAATAATTAACGAGTTCAATAACATCTTTTACATGTGTTCATTTCATGTTTGCATGAATATCATAATTTTGCCTACTTTTTAACAATCCTTTAACAATGAATTTCACACATGTAGTAAATACCATTAAAAATGAAAATTTTAACGTAAAAGCTCAAAGGAAAGAAACACCCTTTTCAATTCATGTATATATTTAAGGAAGGCCAGACAAAACTGTCTTGTCTCTTCCAAGCTCCGAAATTTTTAAGATTCTAAGAAGCAGTAATTGCTGAAGCTGGTAGTTCTTGAAAGAGCCCTTAACTCACCAAAGAATTCTTTCAAATTATATTTCCAGCTGCTTTTTTCCTGATACATAATGTAAGTAAAGCTCTGTCTTAAGAACAGGAGCTTCATCATTTCAGAAGTGCTTAGAATCTTTTATCTGAACTATTTTTATTAATTACATTCACCAATAAAATAGGTGGTAACGTTTTCATACTGAACTAAAAATCTACATTTGACAAACTTTTTCTGATCCAGAAGATTTTTTTTGCCAGTAACATCTATACAATCATAAAAAATAAAACTACATGTTATTTTCAAAATAATAGTTGTCTTTTCAAAATAATACTTTCAAAATACTGTATGTCAGTTGAAAGGGCATAACTTGATTCATTATATACATACAGCTCAAAGAAGCCCAAACCATGAGTCCATACACAAACTAAACATTAAATGAACAATATATTTTAAATTCATTAATTCATGGCAAAAGAGCATATCAATGCTCAGATCTTCTGGCTTTCTAAGCCCCCAATTTAAAATATCTCTAACACCACTAGTCTCTATGGAATTGAAAAGCAGCTTTTTTCCTCTCCTCTCTTAAAATCAAACTAATCCGCCAACACTCCAAGGAAAGAAAGAATAAAATCAAGTTGTACTAAAAATCTTTACAGTCAGCATTCATTCAGATCCTCCCAAACCACTCTCATGGCTTATAACATGCCAGAAAAATAATTGCTCTAGCAAGTAATTACTTTGTCCAAAAATGAACAGAGCAATTTTAGACTGGAAATAATCTGCTATCCATGTCATTCATAAATCCATGCTACTATAATTGTTAAAATGAATGCATAACACATGCAACATCTCATGTACTGAATATTCTAAAAGATAAGTTTTCATCTAAGTTATAAGTAATACTAGCAGATTTGAAAGCATGCAAAGTTAACTCTTCTATCTCCCCACCTACTCCCTCCAAATCAAACATGTGTCAACTAGAATGAAAGAGAAAAGAGAATGCAGATAAACTGAAAAAGGTACAGAATGCTAATTCCAAAAAGGAGGTGTTAGCTCTTCCAAATTTCACCTGAAGCTAAAGAACTGTAGTGAGAAGGCTTCCCCATTTTCAGCAGTTCAAGACGGATACATATAGACCTTCTCCTTGGGAATGTCACTTATTCCAAAACTGTCTTTTCTGATTCTTCTTGAGGGTCTCATACCATTACAAATTATTAACATGTGTTTGTAGCAGTCTATCAAAGCTCTGTAAAATCACCTTTCAAATATTGTACTAAAAGAACAAATAACTGAGCCCTGAACCACTCAGTTGGTTAGAGCATCATCCTGATAGGCTAAGGTTGCAGGTTTAATCCCCGCTCAGGTCACATACAGGAAGCAACCAATGAATGCATAAATAAGTGGAACAACAAATGGGTGTGGAGGGGGGTGAGGGTGTACGTCTCTCTCTCTCTCTCTCTCTCTCTCTAAAATCAATTTTGAAAAAAAACTGAATTGGGCAGTCATCTCCTACTCAGCATCATGGCTGCCCTCACACCCCTTGTGAAACCCAAAATTGTCAAAAAGAGGACGGAGCAGTTCATCTGGCACCAGTCAGACCAATATGTCAAAATTAAGCATAACTGGCAGAAACCCAGTGGAAATAGAGTGTGCAGAAGATTCAAGGGCCAGCTATGGATGTCCAAGACTGGTTATGGGAACAACAAGAAAACAAAGCACATACCGCCCAGTGGCTTTTGGAAGTTCCTGATCAACGATGTCAGGGAACTTGACATGCTGCTGATGTACAACACATCTTACTGTGCTGAGATTGTTCACAGTGTCTCCTCAAAGATCCACAATGCCATAGTGGAAAAAGCAACCCAGCTGGCCATCAGATTCACTAATCCGAATGCCAGGCTGCACCGAGAAAAAAAGAAATAGACGGCTTATGTGCACACTGTATTTGTGTTAATAAAACCATAAAATTCTGCCCTCTGGCATTTCAAAAATAAAATAAAATAAAATATCTGAATCATTTAAAATAAAAGTTAATAGGCTTTTTTCTTCTACCCCTAATTCAACAATGTATAGATCTGGATACCAAGAAAATAAAACAGGTAAATGATTAAATACAGGCATTTCTTCTTTCCAAAAGTGGGAAGAGTAATGACAAGCAGTTATTTTTATTATAAGTTCTTATTAACTAAGCTATCTTCTTTTTTCAGATCATCAGAGAATTTGGTGTACAAAACCAGAAAGAAGGGTTAAGAAACAAAATGGAAACAACATAAAAATGCAATATTCACATTGCCTGTATGACTATAAACAAATAAGGCAAAACATATTCACTGTCACTTTCTCCTATCTAGAGCATGGATTTTCAACCAGTGTGTGGCAAGAATTCTTAAAATGTGCAATACCTCACTATTTAGTCAGGGGCATTGACCTCTTTTCCCTTAGACTGTCAAATAAAAAAATGACGAGAGCCAATAAAATAATAATCATCCAGTGTGCATGAATCAAAATTATACCTATAGTTTATCTGATCAGCAAAAAATATTTTTGCTGTGCTGTAGAATTTTAGTAATTAGTTTATGTGTCATGAGATGAAAAAGGCTGAAAAATCACTGATCTAGAGAGAAAAGAAAAAACAAAATAGCCTCTACAAAGCACATATCATAAAATACCAATTATTTTACTTCCAGAGCCAGATCACTACATAAGGTGAACCAAGTCTTTTCAGTCGGGGTCAGGTAGCAGTGCAGTTCTATACACTATTCCCTAATGCTATTCAACGTCTCTTATAACCTGCTTTCCCACCTGCCCTAGAATCCCCAGATTTTAAATTATTTCTATCACCTACTCGCTTGGAAGCATTGCTGCAGGCATCTAAAAAACTAGTTAATTCAATGGGAAGTATAATGACAAACAGGCATACGTACTCTTTAGCCCTTGCAAAAATGTTCCTCATCAACTCAAACAAATCTATAAATGGTAGAACGTTTAATAGCTTGTGAGATTTTATTTCATTTGTTTCCTCTTTGGGTTGGAAGCACCATTATTCCTATTTTCATACAAAAGGAAAAAGAATGTAAGCCCAAAGCTCCCAGGCCCTACCTCTACTGAAGACGAGAGGCATTTGTTACTGTGAAGTCTCCTTCCACAGCTCCTGACATCTTGACAAATCCATTCTTGAACATTAAATGAAGGGAGGTGATCTCCTACCTGCACCCCCACGAACAGGGAAGAGAGAAAGCCTGCCCTAACAAAGCAAGATCCAGCTACATTCCAGCTTCCAAACCTTTTCGATATGTGGGGGCTAGAGGGCATTTTGTGTTTTAGAACATGTTTGCAGGTTCTTTGATCCTACTCCCATCAAAAGGCAGAGTCTAATTCTTCCCATAAAGAGAATGAAGGAGAAATGACACTGAGCAACCTCAGAAGTTAGATCATAAAAGGTGATAAAACTGCTTGGCACTCTTCCAGGTCAGGCAACTTTGAAGCCTGAATCACCATGTAAGATACCCAGCTTCTACCTAAAGCCCTCATGCTGGAGAGACTATGACCCAACTTCAGACCATTAAATGCCTGAGGAGTGCCAGCTGTTCGCATCTTCCCAGCCCGGCCATCAGACATATGACTGAGAAATTATCTCCAGGCCCAGGTACCGGCAGCCTCCAACTGCATTAAGAGACTTTAGTAAGGGAGTCTTTTAAATGATTCCATTCCCAGCTATTATCTGATCACAACCTCATGAGAAATCCTGAGAAACAACTGCCTAGCAAAGCCTAAACACCAAAACCATAAAAGATAAAAAGGAGTGTTGTTTTTATATCACTCAATTTGGTATGGTATGTTACACAGCAATATATAACCAAAACAGATTTTGGTATATGAAGTGGGCGGTTCCCATAACAAAAAATTAAATTGTTTGGCTTTGGGACTGGGTGGCAGGAGAAGGCAAAAACGGCCCTAAAAGCCCTGGCCAGGTAGTTCAGTTGTTTAGAGCATCATCCTAATACACCAAGGTTGCAGGTTAAACCTCTAATCAGGGCATATACAAAAATCAACCAATGAGCGCATAAATAAGTGGAACAACAAACGGCGGGGGTGTGTGTGTGTGTCTGTGTGTGTGTGTGTGTGTGTGTGTGTGTGTGTGTGTCTGTGTGTGTGTGTGTGTGTCTGTGTGTGTGTGTGTGTGTGTGTGTGTGTGTCTGTGTGTGTGTGTCTGTGTGTCTCAAATGAATACATTTTTTAAAAATTTTTTTAAAAAGGAGAAAAAGGGCCTTAAAAGTACTAGTGAAAGCCTGAGGGGTCTTAAGGGCACTGTTAGGAAAAGCTTCAAGGAACATGTCAGTAAAAATATTAAAACAGCCAACTACACTCTACCGGTGAAATTCAACCTGTCCCTATTTTTGTTTTTGTTTTCCTGCTGCCTGTTTTTATAAATAAAGTTTTACTGGAACACAGCCATCCCCATGTACATGTCTGTGGCTGCCTTCTCCTAAAACAGCGGAGCCGAGCAGGTGAGCCAGAGATCATATGGCCCCAAAAGCCTAAAATATTAATCATTGCCCTTGACAGAAAAAGGTTGCTGATCCTTGGTTTAAAAGCAAGCGTTACTGGAAGCTGAAGGAAAGAAGAATCTTACTAGATAATGGTGTAAAGTTTAGCAAAGCTGTCACCTGCAGTAATTTAGAAAACATAAAATATAACTAATAAAATAATGAATCGGGGTAAGATTTCCAGGCAGAATGTCAAAACTATCAATCAGCTGGGGTTTTTGTTGCCTTTGTTGTTGTTGTTGTTTAGATATGTATCATAAAATACAGGTAGAGAGAGATGAGAAAAAGACAGAATTACATAATTTTCAAGCAGAATATAGAAGAAATATAAAAAAAAAGACTTGTTAGATCCAAAAACACCTGATTCTTATTCCCAGCTTCTTTATATAGCAAAATGTTTCTTAAATTAAGAAATGCCTTCTAGGCAAAGATCAAATCCAAGGCAGGGAAACGTGGCCTAAAAATTAAACTTTTGGCATTGGCCGGGTAGCTCAATTGGTTAGAGAATCGTCCCAATATGCCAACGTTGCCAGGTTCAATCCCTGGTCAAGGCACATACAAGAATCAACCAATGAATACATAAATAAATGAAACAACAAATTCATGTTTCTCTCTCTAAAATCAATTAAAATTTTTTTTCAAAGATTAAACTTTTGTTTAGATTGGTGTAGAAACTCTGTGATATCAGAAAGTTGGTAGCCTGCTGGAGGTCCTAACATATGGAGGGTTTCTGACTAGGAGGAGTTCTACAGGTTTTTCGTGGATAAAAATTGGTGAGAAGGTAGTAACAGTTGTACATTCCTCAAAATGAAACAGAAAGAAAGTTGCATCCTCACTTCAATAATACCTGACAGGAAACCTCTACCCCCAGACTGGCCGGGCTCTCTTGCAACTTAAGAGCGTTGTTACCATGAGCCCTGGTGGGGTCTCACATTAGAATGTCAGTGAGCTGTGAACTCCAGGTAGCCACACCACTCCACAAGGCCACGGACTCAAGTTCATTAGTGAAAATAAATTTTAAAATGGTGGAGTTTATGAATGTCTTTTATCCTTTTTCTTTTTTAGTTATGGAATCACTTATAGACAGGGTGCGGCAGAAGCATAATGCCTGCTTGAGTGTGGTTGGTAATAATATGGGTGTAATAATTTATGGTTTTAATTCAAACATTTCACCTAAAATGTCATATGGTGTGCTTGAGTGCGATACTGTTATAAAATTACATGCTTATGATTTTGTAATGAAAGATTTTTGTAATAAAAAAACCCCAAACTTTTGTTTAGACTAAGGATCATATATTTTAGGCTTTGAGGGACAAAAACAGTCTCTGGTGAACATTCTTTTTTTTTTTTTAACAACCCTTTATACACAAATGTAAAAACAAATCTTAGCTCATTGGTCATAGTTTGCCTACCCCTAATTTAGACTCCAAAAAGATTTAAGGTGGTGCCTCATAGATCCTTTCAAAATAAAAGTACTTCTAAGTATCTTAAAGGTATTGTGCCACAAAAGTCTTAAAGGGAACTGAGAGAGGGTTCAGGACATGCTACCCCAAAGTATGGCACCTTGGCATACTGAATGTTTTAAGATGAAGGAACATGAGCAAATACCAGAGGTAGAAAGGTCACCCTGACCTTCCCCTGCTATTCTCCCCTAAAGCAAGTTATAAAATTCCCATGTGAAACATGCCCTCCCTATAACCAAAGGAACATCCTTATCTACAAAGACAAAGGCACACAGAGAAGATTCATAACAAACAGACCTTGCCAAATTTCCCCAGTTTATACATTTAATTTATACTCGTTAACCTACCATATTCCTTCAAGACTGTCCACTCTTCATCAAACACAGCATAAAAGTACTCAGGTTTAACATTTCTTAGGGTCTTCAGTTACTTATGAAGGCTCTATGTCACATAAAATGTATAAATTTATATGCTTTCCCTTCTTAATCTGTCTTTTGTCAATTTAATTTTCAGACCCACTCACGGACCTAAGAGGTTCAAAGAAAACTTGTTCCTCCTCTACAGAGTCCAAGATAGAAAAGGGCTTACATCAATGTGTAAGTGTGGCTTTTGTGTAATAGAGTGAACCCGTCAATAAGATTCAGAGAATTTCATATTCAGAAACATTGTCATCTTGGACTGAAAAGGATAGAGATAGTACAAAATAAAAAGAGGTTTTTTGGGGACCCCCGACACCCCCCTCCCCACACACACACTCAACTCTCTATAGCCAGAAAATAGGCTGAGAAAATTACTCAGCTGCAAACACTGGATACATTTTATGGAAAAGAATAATTCAGGGGCAAAAGTGAGAGCTGTGAAGAATTGCTCCCAGGTAGTAGGGCTGAACAGAGAACTGGTAACATGTGCCTGG